GCACATACACACACACACACACAATTTTCAGCATATTCCTAAAATATGCAAAACGCAGCGGTCGACTTCGACCCCGTAACCTATTATATATATATATATATCCCCAAACCCCACAATAGTCCTCCCTAAGCACGTTCTAAAACTCTACACCCTAAACTCTGACCACTCTCAGCGTCGGAATCGCCGCCGTAGAGCTCCTCAAAAAACTCTTCGAGTTCTCCCTCGATGCCATGCTCTTCCAGGAGCTCGTGCGCCTCTCTTGTTCGTGGCTTTGCTGCTGTTGTAGGCCACTTGTAGCGGTCTTTTCCGATTTGCTGTCGGATCTTATCTGAGTTTTCTGAGTTTCAACCAGCTTACTTCTGGAGTTTGCAGTTCAGGATTTGGAGGGGTAGGTTTCCGCGGCTGGCGTTTACGGCTAAAGGTCCAGCATGTGGGGTTCATCATCATCGCTTTGGGGTTGTGTGAGTGGAGGGCTCACGGTGAATCCTTGGAGTTGAGCTAAATCCTAAATCCTAAATCCTAAACCCGAGCTTTAGGGTTTAGGGTTTAGGGTTTAGGGTGCAGGCCACCTTGAAACATAGCGTTTACGAATGTAATATAAGGTCCTCAATTAATTAGAATGGGGTTGCGTGGTATATCATTTGACTACACCCCCGAAAATAGTCTTGGAACTATTAAGGCCCTTATATTGCCTGAATTTTATCGTTTGCTCATACCGGGGACATTATTAATTATCCTGACGCCCACATTACATCCTAAACTCCTAAAGCCAAAACATTGTAGAAGCCTTGAAAGGAACCCTTTAAAAAACAACTCTGGATCGCGGGAATGCTGCCTTTTCAAACTTGTTCTCGAGGCCGCAATTCTCGAACTCCCGTCGGAGCTTCTTGTGCTTTTTCAGGTCCTGGCATGGGCCATGGGGCCTTAATAATTAGAATAGGGATTAGGGTTGAGGGTTTAGGGGTTTAAGGTTTAGGGGTTTAGGGTTTAGGGTTTAGGGGTTTAGGGTTTAGGGTTGAGGGTTGACTTCGTCCGGTCCTTGAAGCACTGGAACATCTTCTTGTAGCCTCGCAAGACTTGTCCCAGGTCCCCGTTGTAGTTCTCCTCGGTTCCAGGGACCCGGTGTTGGGGGGCTTTGGGGGCATGGTTTAGGGTTTAGGGTTCAGGGTTTTGGGGCTTTAGGGCTTTAGGGCTTTAGGGCTTGAGGTTTGGGGTTTGGGGGGCTTAGGGGGGGTAGGGTTCAGGGTCTGGCGTTTGGGGTTTAATTAAACCCTAAACCCTAAACCCTAGGGTTCAGGGTCTGGCGTTGAGGGGTTTAGGTTTCAGGTTTAGGGCCATGGTGCTCTTGGAGTTTCCGGCTGGGGCGCGGCTTCAAGTTTCCACCAGCTTCGGCTCGTGGCTCTCAGCTCAAGTAATGTAGGGGCCATAATAATTAGAATAGGGCTTGGGCGTTTTTTATACTATAATTAGAATAAGGAACCCCCACAATAGTATAGTTAATTATTTAGGCCTCTAAACTATCTTGTGCCAATTGTCCCTATCATAAAACCCACAGAATGTTGCGGACGGCTTCCGTGCATTGCCCACGACACGCTTTCAGAGCCAAAATTGGAGAAGATGCTGGCTGGTCGAGCAGTCATGATCTTGCTCCCAGGAAGTTCCATCTTCAAAACTTTCCTCCCCTAAACCCTGAACCCTAAACCCTAAACTCTAAAGGCCCAAGTCTCGAGGATCTCAAGGATCTCCATCGTCGCATCGTACATAGGCAAGATCGCTTCGCTCAGCGTGTCCCGGTTTACCTCCCTGTCCTCCCGTTCGCTCTCGGCGTCTTCGTTGTAGCATTCCTGGGTTCTTTTCTTAGAGAAACTAAACCCTAAACCCTAAACCCTAAACCCCTAAACCCCTAAACCCCTAAACTCTAAACCCTAAACCCAAACGGATATCGTAAATTACATCGTCTCCTTAGATTCCTCAACAAGAGCCAGGCTTCTTCCTCGGAGCTCTCGCTGTAGGCTTTCTTCTTCCGGGGCTTCCTCGGAATCCCCTCGGACATGTCCGAGTCCTCGCCCGCCTCCTCGCGCTCAATGTCCATCCGCTCGCGCTCCATCTCTGCCATGAGATGAGGGTCCTCGTCGGCCTCCTCATCGTCCTGCGTCATGACCATCTATACCCCTAACTCCTAAGCCCTAACTCCTTAAGCCCCGAAGATGCCCAAAACCCCCTAAACCCTAAACCCTAAACCCCTAAACCCCTAAACCCCTAAACAATAAGGCCTAAACCCTACCATTGCCTCGAAGTCCGGAAGCTCGATCTTCTCTTCCATCGACAGCTCAATCGGTGGCTTCGACGCTTGCAGCGGTGTGGCCTCTGGCACCTCCGGCACGCTGGCCTTCCTGGGTTCGGGTTTAGGGTTTAGGGTTTAGGGTTTAGGGTTTAGGGCTTAGGGCTTAGGGCTTAGGGTTTAGGGTTTAGGGTTTCGGGTTTAGGAGCTTAAGTTAAGCTACCATGATCGGGAAACTCGGTGATGTACTATAGATCCCTATTACGTTAGCTTCAGTTATCTAAGCTCCTGAAAACCCAGAGAGCCCAATCCTAAACCCTAAACCCTAAACCCTAATAACCCAGCTTCCGGTTCACGATCTGCTTCTTGCGCTTGTGCGGGATGCCGTCGCCCTGTATCCTTCCCGCGGCGTCCACGGACAAAGTCACCTGCCACACGTAGCCCTCGGCCCCTGGGGGAGCCTCTCCCTCGAAGGTGATCTCCTGGGCTTTGCGTTTGGGGTTTAGGGTTTAGGGTGGAGGGGCCTACTATAAGCTACCTTATACGAGAGATCTATAATGAACCATGTAGAGTTTCCGTAGTATGGTACTGGGGATCTATAATAAAAAAAAACAAGTGGGCTTCCTCATTAGGGTAAGCTTAAGCTCAACTAAACTCCCTGTAATACGAGAACTTCCTTGATTTCGGGTAGCTTGAAATATAGACTCCGTACAGAAAACCCAGCTCTAGACCCTACACCCTAAACCCT